TAGGCTATGGTCTTAGTGGAACGCCAGCTAAATTTGGGCTCACACAGGGCCTTACTTCCAGACCAGCTACTCTCTAACCTGATTTTCCTCAAGTCAAACTATTTAGGCCTTTTCCTGCCAGACCAAATCTTGGCAGTGGCCCCGGGGTGGGGGGGGAATAAACCATGTTTTACACTTGAAATTCTCAATTACCCTCAATTGTTGTTGGGTTGGGTTAGATTTTGTGAGTTCGATATAAACATATGTACATGTACTGGTATGTATCTGCAATGTTTCACGTCAGTTTGGCCTAATCAGTCTGTCAACTGCACATTATGCATTTGGAACCGTAATAGAAGTCTCTTGTTCGTATACCTGTGATATACATATGTACATGCAAGCCCACATCACTTCACTTTGATGCTGTACATGTAGTTGATTGTGGCACCAGTCCCACAGGCCAAAATGTCATTATACAAGTTTACTCATGTACCACATGAAGTGTGTCGGTATTGCACAAAATCACGTTTTAGCTTTGGGTGAAATCATGTTCTCTTTTCATTAAATGTCAAAGATAAATACACCAGACCTTGTGTTTGCTGCCCAGGATTCCAACTTCCTGCTATTTGGTGTGAATTTCATTAATGAACTACACATATGTACACATACAGTGAATGTGTATCTGTTTGAGACTTTAAAGCAATTACTGAATACTGTCAGCATATAGATGTTCGCAAGCAGTGGCAACATCTGCAGCATGATGTTCAGAGTTTGTTCAGCTTATGAAAGTTTCACTTTATCATTTGCAAAAAACACAGTGTCGTTGTATTAGGGTACCTTCCTAGAATATGCAGCTACTCATCATGTGACAGTGTTAACTATAATTAGTATGCACCATTTGATTAGCAAAATGGACTATACTAGTACATACAAGTTCACAGTGGAACTGCATATGTATCGCTGCCGTGAGACAGCGTCCACGTGAATGTAACATTGTAGGTTCAAGTTTCATACACATTGGACTATTGCTAATGTGCTTGAAGGCAGCTTCAGTGAGTACATCCATGGATAACTTCCAGAGCACAAGGACAGAGAGCAACAGGAGGATTTTCTCAACATTACATTTTTTGTGGATGTATAGGCCTACATATTGGTTCAAGTTTAAGTATACCCGACCTCGAACAAGTACAATTACTCCTGTACCATAGTTGTGGAGACATGTATACTCAGACTCAGAAATGTCCTCACAACTTAGTTAAGATTTTTCTACTATAACAAAAGAACATGTCCCCTGAATGCGGTGAATTCCTACCCACACATGCATGTGTGTGTATTGTGCATGGAAACATTGCATGGATCTATACATTTACATCTGTTACATTGTGCTCATACAGTACATATACCATACACTTTACATACAGGTGTACAATACATATTCAGGGTTCGAAATTCGTTTTATAGGGGCCTAGGCCATTTTGGCCTTGGAGAAGTCAAAATTTCCAGGGGCTCCAAGGCCACTTAAAAGGGCACGGAGGCCATTGTCGAAAATTGATAAGGGCCCAAAGGCAAATTTGTCAAAACACAATCTGTTCAACCTCTAAAATGCATTCTTTGCTTTATTGTGGAAAAAAGTTGACACCCAAGCAAATGTCCAATAAGCAGTCAAAACCTAACACCAGGAATTGTTATACTCTATGAACAGGGCATGAGTTGCATAAATAATCATCAAATTAATTACAAATTTTTTCCTAACATTTGAAAATGTGTACATCCCTTTTGTTGACTTCTAGACTTTCAAGTTACTAGCTGAATAATCTACATTGTATCCAAGAACCCTGCCATCCCCTTAGGCTTCCCACCCTGACATGAAAACAAGAGCAATAAGGGTTAAGGGCTAACAAGTTCTGCTGCCCTTTTACTTTTTTTCACTCTTTACTTTTTAGCTAAGTGCCGTTTAATACTGAAGATGTAAAAAAAAATAAAATGGCACTCTTCCAGTCCATCATTTACTGCACTTCATTTGCAAACCAGTTTAGCCATTACTATTGGTTGAGAGCCTGGCACATGGTCATAAATAAATACCAGTATTAAATGGAAGATAAAGACATGGCCAGCATTCTAGCATTACATGAAATTTGGATGAAAACACTATAATCCAATGCTAGAACCAAATACTGATGAAAATGTATATATGTTTTCAAATTCTCAGTTTTATTTTTAAAAAAAGCAGTAACAGTTAGATATTTTGCAGGTGACAGCAACGGTTTTGCTAGGCTATTTTGTCAATTATGTGTTTGTTGTCAGCAATGCGGGCGGGAGCTATATTTGAATACCTGAATTGCCAGCGTGGCCGCGTCTTCACCCAGCACAGATTTCGGGAAATCACGGTGCCGTCAACATTGCCAATCTCAGAAATACACACGGTGACACCACCACTTACCATGCATAAAAAAAAACAATTTCTTGCATTTTATAGCCGAGTTGCAGAGCTCCCTTTGAAAGGAACGTTTCAAACGTTCTTTCCGAGGCATTGTCACGGGTCATACAAACTGACAGCGGGCCGGTAGCGACAGGATAACTTCGATTCCACGTGGCTGGTCCACGTCCCTTGAAGCACGTACTATACGTGAAGTGGATCAATGCGGAGTGCACTGGTGGTACATGAACATGTATATGCAACAATGCATTATGGGACACTCCGATTAGCTACATGTATCCATAAGGGAACGGGTTTGTGCTTGCGCACATGCAGCGGATCAATGCGAAAGTGTGCAATAGCGGTATATGCAGCAATGCATTATGGGACACCGCACTTAGCAATCCGTAAGGGTGCAGGTCTGTGCTTGCTAGCACGCATGATGTTCATTGCTACATGAAGTTGAACAGTCAACGCTACCCCCTCTGGACGGTCCGTGTAGTGCACACGTGGCTTGGCCTGTAACGCAGGGGGTGGGCATAACTATAGTAACAGCTTGCTGCTTAAGAAATGTTGTGAATATGCGTTTGCGTGAGTGAGGGCAATGTGGCCGTATACCATGCGGGCTGTGCAAGCCCGATTGCTCGTGGTAGGGTCTCGCCGACTGGCGCGGCCGGCAAGCACTAGCGCTGCGCTGAATTTTTTTGTTAATCATTTTGACAACTCACTGGAAAGGGCACAATGGCCAAAGTGTGCATAGGGCGCAGCGAAAGTGGCCGTGCACAATGCAATTTTCCGAGGGGCATCACGGCAAGTAAAAGGGTATCGACGGCACTGGCCGTCGTGAATTTCGAACCTTGCATATTTACATGTATATGTATGGTGTACATGTACATGTATACCAGTACATAAATGTAATGCTTGATATTAACACAAAACACTTTGATATGCAAACTTAGCAAAAAACGTCCTGTCTTGTAATTTTTTTGATTTGTTCAGTGTAGTCACTACAAACGAAACAGACACCATGTCAAAATATCCATTTACATTGAGATGTAGTCCATGTGCCGGTAACTGCAACAGAATGCAAACACGATCAAACGTTGTTGCTTATTGTTTGGGGAAGGAATGACTTGTAACTGTACGGTGTTGCA